TCAACTGTAAACCGTCTTGCGGTAACGCTGTAATGATATATACATTTTAAACGTTAAAGAAGGAGAATATGTGAGTGTGAAAAAACAACTGCCTCGACTGGGATTCGAATCCGGTCTTTTTGTAGTATATACGGTATATATACTGTATATTATTTATTGGTTTGAAATTTCAATTATCACTTCCGTTCCACAGAAGACCAAACAGTTGAGGAAGCAATGCAACAGTACTATGCATTATTCGTATTATTTTATTTAAATTTTAAACGATTTTACAACTTTGTTCATGTTGAAAAAAAATCTGATTGATTTATTAATTATTTACAAAAAAAGTGACAAATATGTGTGTGGGTGCAGGTTGCACGTGTTTCGTGTGTTTTGCAAGTACAGTACTGTACTTTAACAATTTTCTAGATCTAGGCAACAATAGAGACGTCTTGCTACGCGTTGATCAACGTGCGTGGATACACCAACATGGTATTAAATGTAAACAACCACCTTGTTTTCATATAAATATTGGATTGTCTTTACGTCATTAAACTTAGAAGTTGTTAATACATTCATTCATACTTAACTTTAATGACAATATGTTCTTCTGTAAGCCATATTGGTGACTAACCAATTGTGCATGATGTTAAAAATTATTTTGAATACTCATAGAACACTTTTGTATTAGTAGACGTTCTCAACAATTTGTAGAAACATCTTTCTATATTTAGATTTATCTTTTTGACTATCTTCAAATTGTTAATTGTGCAAAATCAAAACAGGTACTACTTAAATCTTGGTACGGGGTTACTTAAGATTAGAAAAATATGTTTATAAAGACGTACATTGTGAAGTTATAAAACTATGTTATATTATGAAACAATCGTAGTGTGGAATATGTAGGATTCCACCATTATGAAGATACTAAAATCCTGATGGAGACAAGGTTCATGTGCTTACCCAGATTACACTAATTAAGTTACAGTACCAAATTTGTAGGGCTTATTATTAAAGTTTATATAATGATAATTAACGTTCTGGAAAATAATGTATTCGTATAGGGTTTGCCAGTTCTCATAATAACATTCCGCACTTACTTTGAAGTCTGTTGATGTTTTCAATGACAAGGTAGGCTGAAATGTAATTTTTTTTATGGTGTACAGATCAACTACCGGTTTAAATGTATTAAGGAAGTGCAGGGACCACAAAGTTGGAAGAGTCACTTCCGGGAGATATGCCTAATGAGATTTCTTAACGTTTTTTTTTTTAATATGATTTACATCGGCACTGTCTTTCGGTAGACAATTGACAGTACCGTACTACGTACTAAAAACCTCATCCAAGTATTGTGAATTTATTTACTGTATTCATAAGTGTGCACTAAACGTTTATTAGTCATTTTGTAGAACAAACCTTTGTTAATTTGTGTATAGTGACTGTTAGACTTGGCCACTGAGGTTTCGAATCCGATTGGAAACAACATGTTTTTGCACTCTTACACTCATACTGTGTATATGTATATGACGATTTGAAAAAACATTATTGTCCTCTTTGTTGGGATTTAAAACAAAAGCCCTCCGATCTGAAGTTTTGTCACATTTAACTTACAACAATTATTGTTCCTTGTATAAAACCGTCCATAAACATAAGTTTCAGGGTACCTATTAACCTTTATGCATAGTAGTTTAAAGCAGATGGAGAAACTGCAATTTTATAACAAGTTGACATATGATGATTTCTTTTTCATAGTCCTTAGTTATATACTCAAATGTATTCCGTATTTGATGTTATTGATAAATAAATGCTAAAATGTATTCATACAGAGGTGTGTGGGTCGAATTTTGTGTTTTAAGCTGTTTTTTTATTGCATTGTATATCCAATATCAAATCAACTTTAGCAAGATAATGTTGTTTACTGGGTGCGTGCGTGATGCTACAAGGTAAAGGTCACATTAGTCTTACTATTATACTGCCCTGATTCGGAAAAAGGCATTAACTACATTTTTTTCAAAATTAAGATTTTTGTCTTACATGACTCCTGAGGGTATAATCTATCACCTTAATTTACTAGAAAGCCAGAAATATTACTCTAAATATGATATTTATATTTTTAAATGGGCATTATCTACACACACACCACTACAAATAATTTGGAATAAGGCAGTAGGCCTACCTACACCAAAGGCTACAATACAGCATTGAACGGTTGACTTCACACACAGCCAGGAAGTAGTTATCCAATCAGGTACCAGTGTGATGAATATTAATTAGATCTCCTCTAAGATAATGCCTATTTTGTTCCAGCTTTATTCTGACGATTAATTCGAAAGAAGGCATTATCTACATTGTTTTTCTCATAACCTTTACGAAACTTCATTTTATTCTGATGATTTCTTTTACTTTGACACAAGTTACAGCTTATTTAGGAGCTTTTTGGCGTGTAATTATTATAAATATTAATTTTAATGCAAAATTCTGTGCATCTTGTTTACATGTAATACATTTATATAAATATGTTTAATTGTTTTATTCAGTGTGTGTTACTAAATATGTTTTCTGCTAAATTAATTTAAAAAAAACTTAATATTAACAATCCATAAGCAATATAAATATTACTTTGTAAGTTTAAATAAACTTTTATTTTGCCATCTTGATTATTGATCGAGTTTATAGCCCACATCCAAGCGCAAAAAGCAAAAAGCGCTATATGAATGTCTATCGTTCAATGATGATGAAACATATAATACCTAATTTGATACCGTACAAAATATTATAATGTACGGTATCCTTTGTTTTTAAGTTTACATATTTGAAATAATTAATTTGAATTGTTTTATAAAAGGGTTGCTCTAATTGTTTTTAGTGTATGTAAAATTCATGAGAATTTAAAAATATCATTTTAGTAGCATTATTATCCAGTGACCATACTGATGATGATAGTGATTATGAAGATAATTGAAACAGCTTGGTGTGGCATTATATTAGAAACATAACGGTAAAACATGTCATAAAATATAGATAACTTTTCAATTTACTTCCAAATTTACCTAACATATACAACCCGAAGCCCACCCTCAACACCGCCCCCAAACCCCTCCCCCGGCCGGAAGCTAACCCTCCTTGATAATTTTCAAAATATTTTTAAAAATGTGTAGGCACATAGTAGGCCTATCAAAACAACGCCTATAAAATTTCTTTTTTTTTTGCTGTTATGTTAGGTCATAACAAGGTCAAAGGTCATACACGGCATAAACTCACCAAAGTGTAATGCCTATTGACTGTAAAAGATGAAACTGCCAATAAAGAACATTTTAATTGAATTGAAATATGAAACGGTTGATGTATGATATTCAGACAAGTGTGAAGTAAGAAGTGAGGATAGCAGAGTTAATGCAAGGCAGTTTTTAAGCTAAAATTATTACGTTGTATACGGTATTTCAAAGAAACTGTTGTAAGATTTTTTTTTATTATTTCGTTTTATAATGGCATAAAGCATAGGCCTTCAATAGAAAGTTATTATATTCAGTTGTGGGAAAAAAATGCCTAGCGGGATTCGAAACTGCAACCTCTCGCTATCATACCGTACCTATTAGACTGTCACTTAGGCCTGTTATATAAGTGCTACAGGTATTAACAAAGTGCGACATAACATCCGTCCATTGTTTAGATGTTGTTTTTGTTTTTGTTTTGTTTTTGCTGATGCTTTTAGGCAGCCATAACATTCGTCCCCTCAGCATTCTGAGTAAGGTTTTCAGTTTATAGACTGAGTTAGATAAAGTTTATCATTCCCAGGATTGCGACTAGACTCTGCCCATCTCCTCCCCAGCACGTTAGTCCAGTACTTATTCTTTGGCCTTCATGATTTTGAATTTATCATTATTTACTATGAACATATACCCGGTATTAAAATACTGTTGCATATATATCTTCTATAATATTATTGTTTTGTTTATTTATTATTATTGTATTATTTTGTTGTATTGTATTGTGTTGTAAACTATTATTGTATTGTTAGTTTCTTGATATAGAAAAATAAGTTTCATTTTAGGTATTACTCAATAAAATACTCAATAAATACTCAATAAAATATTACTCAAAGAAAAGAAATTCAAAATACTGTAAAATTACTAAGTGCGTCTGCACCAATAAAATTATTTAAAAAATTATATAATTAATTATATAATAATGATGTTATACAGAATATTGCTATAACTTTGCTAGTTTCTTTCTAGCATCCATACTTCGATTTTAATCTTCTAAAAATTTTCATGAAACCGATTATTATTTATACACAATTTTATTATTTTTTTTTACATTTTATAATAGAATATATAAAAGTCTATATAAAAGTCTATAGAAAATTCATTAAAAATCATAGTATTTATAATACTATAATAGTTTTGTATGGTAAGTATGTTGAGCATCTCATGTTATCCATACATTCTCAAAAGTCCATTATTTACAGAATGGTGGCGCTATACATGGCATAGCTCCATCTGTAAACAATTGAAAGCAAGCTGTTATTAACTTGGGATTTTGATTTGATTTGATTTATTCGCATCTCATATATAAAATACAATCAATAGAACAATACACAATGCATAAAATTCATTAGAAAAAGTTACCAAAAAAAGTAAAAGGCCAATACTATAGTCCAAGTAAAATTGATGGAGGAATTGATGGAATTAATTCAAGGAGATGCAAGGATAGCCCAAAAAAGTCATAAAAAGGTCTTATTTCTATTGGAGTCCTTAAGACGAAAAACCAAGGAGGCCGAAGGCAGCAACAAAAGAAATTTCAAAAAGAAAAGTCAAATTAAAAACGAAAAAGAAAAATCATAACGAAAAAGCAGAAAGGTTCAAAAAGATTAGTAAAAAACCACCGAAGCAGATTCTTCCTTTTAAATCTCCTTTAACTTTAGATTTAAAATTACTAAGTGATGGGCAAATTTTTATCTCTTTAGGTAACGAATTCCAATACTTGGAAACCATTAAGAAGCTCCATAGTCGAAAAGAGATAGTTTTCGTAAAGTTAGCTGCGAAATCTCCTTATTTAGGTCGGCAAGGAACGATCCATGTGTATTTGATAGAATCAAACATTAAATTTTTTTACATCGTTTTGTTTTTTTTCCTTTTTCATAAACTCCTTCATAAACAATAAGTCACATATATTTTTTTAGCACTACGTACAATTATGCAAGTATACTTTATTATATCAAGAGTGCAATTAAAACCGAATATACATTGATGTATAATAAATATTTAAAATGTACAACGATCAAGATAGAATGAATTACTTCATACCGGTATGTGTTTTTAAGGTTCCAATATATTTATAAGGTGAGTCATGCAGAGAGAACGTCTTTTTCATATGAATTAGTCGACAGCCGATAAAAGCAGCATCATTCAAAAGTTATGTACATCCATTCAAGATTAGTTTAGTAATGTTTACAAATATAAATCACTATGGACTGTTTAAATTGTATTGGATTTATATAAAATAATCAAAGCATGATGATAATGATGATGATAATAATAATAATAATAATAATAATAATAATAATAATAATAATAATAACTTTATTTAATAAAGTCGGACAATATCCATTTAAAATGTTCACAGGCGTTGTAGAAAATTTAAAAATAGAAATTTACAAAAAAAATCAGTATTCTACCGTATATAGGCCTATATCAATTAAAAGTTAAATAGACATTAAAAAGCATCACAATTTAACACATCAAAACCTACAGTGAATAAATGACAAAATGCCAAGATTTAAAAAAAAAAATAGACGCGACATAAAAGAACAATTAAACCTAACAAATATTTTGGATTTTTCAAAGCAAAACACAAGATCGCCAAACCGTTACCAAATTTATATCAAAAAGTTAAGAATGTAATATGCCGTGCCCATAAAAAATACTGTACATGATGTACCGTATTTAGGAGTAATGCGTAAAAAGGCAGATGAGGACATGTTATTCATTCAGTGTTCTATGATGAATTTGGATTGGTGTTTTGTTGACAGACAGTTCACCACACTAACAAGTTTCATTAACAGTCTATTAACCGAATGGTCTTTTAATCGATATACGCCATGTTTTACAACTATCCAACACATCGAGATTTCTGCGAGCTTTGTCTTTTTAGCTCTTTTTTTAATTCTCCCACTAACCAAAAACACCTACCAGCTAATTTAGAGGTAAACTGCCACAGTGAATTAGGCCTATGTAAGTTTATATTTTTCAGGATAGTTTTGTTACTATCTCTATCAAATCGTTATTCATTCATACCTTCCTTTCCCGCACACCTAACAAATATCACTCCATTAACGGGAATTAAATATCCATCACAACAGTTTCTAACATCATTCCCGTAACAGCAATTAAACATCCCCACACCGAAAAAACAGTTTCAATTAAACAGAGAGTAGGCCTATCGACAAGTGGCATACGGAGTGCCCCCACCCCCACCCAATGCTTGCAGTACCCCCACTGAAAATTCGATGCAAAACAATTACACTCAAGTAGTTAATCATATCACCTTATTTTGCAAAGGTAACGCCATCCTCACATTCATCGACACCCCCCCCCCCCCCCCCCCCA